CCTCTGAGCCAGCCCAGGTGCCCCTCCTCTGCATCAAAGATGGATTCACATCCCCGGCTGTCGGCAAGATAAGTGCAGGGCAAAGACCCAGAGAGGGGTTTGGAGTCGGTGCAAGTGTGTGCCTCACCTGGAGGGATTTTTGAAATTAGTAGGATGCAATGGGTATTTTGTAACAGGTTATTTGGACACATGGAAGGAAGGGCTTACTTTGTATCGTTGGATTCACTTGTGCAGGGCAGAGCAGTTCCGGTCTGTGTCACGTCCTCTGTCTCATCCATGTTTTGTGTCCTTTGTCTCTTAATTGTGTCACATGGTGTGTGTTGTCACAGGTGCGGGGTGTCTCACTTGGGGTCAGCCTGGAACTGCTCTGCCCTGCTCCGTGGGTCAGTGGGTAGATAGAATATTGCTCAGAGTCTCCCATCAGCATGTCAGTTACCTCAGTCAGTGGAGCCGATGGCTGTATGGTCCTGCCGGATGGAGCGGGTGTACATAACTCGTGTGCCGTCGTTATAGCCGAGTGTTGTGGAGCTGATGGTACTTGGAGAGCGGGGCCTCGCAGCTGGGTTGTCATTTGTATTTTTGTAGGCTGCGGTCAGAGTTCTCACTCGCTCAGTGGAAATGAGTTAAGTGGTTAAGGTCTCTGTGACCATGTGGGTGACCTGACTAACCCTTTGTTTTTTGTTGGTTTTTTTTCAGATAAGCGGACACAGTGTACCCCAGACCGAGATCAGTTGAAGCAGCCTGGTAAGAAGGTTGTATTATGTGTTGGATGAAGGATGTCAGTTTTAGCCAGAGGAGTCCTTTATCTTGTGCCTTTTTGGTTTTTATTTTCCAGATGGGGCCCAATCGGTCTCGAGGGGTAGTGGCTCAGCAGGGAGACGAGCGAGGTGAGAATTTTCCTCCTGAACCGAATTTGGAGTTAGTTTGAGGATGTTGTCTATGTGGTCAGTCTATGCATATATGTTGTAGCTGTTTAATTGTTTTTCCAGGCGATACACAACCCTTTGCCCGTGTGCTGAAGGTGCCGAAGGTCCATCCTATAGGAGGTCAAGCTGAAGGAGCTGAGATAGCCAGGATGAGGCAGTACGTCAGCACCAGCCTCCGTGTCCGTGTTGTCTCACAGTGACCGTCTGTCCACTTCAGGGTATGTAGCAACACTTCATCGTTAAAAATGCCTTCTAATTTTGTCTGTGGCTCGCTCAGGTATCCCAGAAGATGACAGCCACAGTGTGTGACTCCAGTCAGAACCAGTGAGCTCATCCAGTATCCGTGCTTCAATGGGATAAGAGCTCTCCCTTTCTTTCATTGAATGGGATTTCTCAAGCTATTCCTGCTTTATTGAAGCATCAGCTTTGGCATCCAAAGAAGCAGAGCTACATATGGCAATGAAGAGGATTATACCCAAATGCAGGGTTTTTAAATTGAGTAATTTTGTGTGCTGTGTTGGTAAGGTGCTTTTCTAATTTGTTATCCTTTTTTCTTTTCCTTAGGAGCCTTGCATCTTTTGGGATGTCCCGATCGTCTCAGCTGCAGTTTGGCTTTTTTTCACCAGTGTTATCCAGTCCTCAGGTGAAGCTGCTCTGTGTTGAAGATGGCTACAGACACCCAGGTTTGCAAGGAGTCAGTGGAGAGTTACAGCCCAGAGACGGAGGGAGGGCTGGGGTGGCAGCTTAGGAATTGCCAGGGGTGTTTTGAAGGTAGTATGGGTGGAAAGCATTGTCCAGGAGCCCCCTAAATGCCTGTGAAGGCATCCACTGACTCTTCAGATGGGCCACTTAAGTTTTCCTCTCCTTCTCCCAGATATTCTGTGCGATTTCAGCTGCAGTCTTTGGCTGCAGGCAGTGACCCTGGGTGGTTTGCCTAAAGAGAAGGGAGATTCTTTGAGCTCTTCCCAGCTGTCTGGGTGACTTTGGTTAGAGGTTCTTTTCCAGATGTTGTGGTGAATCGGTGCACATGCTTTGTTTCTTGTGTTTTCCAGGGGTTCTACCACCTTCTAACAGACAGTCCAAGGCTTCAGGGCCCCTGTGGGTAAGAGGTGACTGTGGAGGAGAGGTAGGTAGGAGCTACCCCAGGAAAGCCATCCTTTCAGGTAGTATCTCAGTGTGAACATTTGCCTTTGGCTTTTTTACTCTGCACAGAATGTGTGCAGCCTCAGAGGGCCGGAGCCACTTGCCAGTTTAGGTTTGATGATCTTCAGCTGTCCTCATCAGTAGTCTCCTACTACTACGAGGCTCATCAATTAAAGCTGGACCTTTTCCAGTTGCAGCTGCCCTCCTGCCTGCCTTTGGCAAAGGAGGAGCATTGAGGTTGAGTCTGGGAGGTAGTGAGGAGGTGCTGGGGTCTCCCTTACTTTCAGGAACACCAGGTAACTTTTTTTCTCACTCCCCCAGGTACTCACACGGTGACGGCAGCAGCCTCCGACTGGGGTCGGAGCCAGTGGCCCGAGAACCTCTCAGCTCAGGGGAGGGTGAGTAGCCAATTGCAGGGTTATCTCCCACGTGCTGCCCAACTCTCGTGTCAGTTTCTGTTTTCTTTCTCACAGCCAACCCAGTCAGGGATCACAGGACCCTGTGAGCCAGCCGGGCGTCCTTCCTTGGCATCCAAGATGGATTCACATCCCCAGCTGTGGGAAAGATAAGTGGAGGACTAGCACCTGGAGAGGGGATGAGAGCTGGGTCTAATGTTATGGTTAGGAGGGAGGGATTTTCAAATGAGCAGAGGGGAAAGGGTCTGCCCTAAGAGGCCCTTGGCACGCATAGGAGGAGCAGTTTACTTTTCATCATGGGGTAGGGTGTGCAGGGCAGAGCCGTTCAGGTCTGTGTCGTGTCCTTTGTCCACTCTGTGTCTCGTGTCTTACAATTCACAGTCACCGTGTCTTTGCTTTCTGCCCTCAAAGGTCTTACTGAAGATGTCAAGGCATCATTCCTAGGGTCTTGAACCTTTGCACTGCTCAGCCCAGTGCCCATACCATCCGTTCTTTGGCTCACTAGCTTGGACGTGCATCGGAATCGCATCTGAGAAGTGTCAGGTCAGGTGTCTTTTACAGCCTCCTTACAGGTTGTATTGGATGACTGCTGTGCAGTCATCCCTTGTAACCGCCCGGGACTTGTGAGAATCTAAGAAGATTCTGAACATAGCATTGTCTTCCATCCATCTTAGCAATTTTGTAGGCAGTTCTTGTCCCAGGCCATTGTTAGAGTGTCTTTTGAGGCTCCTCAGAGCCTCCTGCGTTCGGTCTCGCCGTATCCTCCGTCTTCTCGTGCGGCAGCACGTCCATTTTGGCGTCGTTCCTTTCTCAGAGTTCTCTCTCCTCGTCGCACCACAGCACTCGTCTGGAAATGTGTCCTTGGAGTTTGTGTTGGGCCTGGAACTGCTCTGCCCTGCAGTGTAGAGTTGGGGATAGGTGGAGTAGAAAGGAGACTTGGCAGTTACCCTGTGGAGAGGCTCAGCCACTCAGGGCAGGGCCTTAAAGTGAGGGCAGTGTTTGGTTGTGCAGGTTGTCTTTGGACCCCAGAGGGCTTGT